AAATTTTTCATTATTAATTATTCTTATAAACTGAACATTCTTATTCTTAACATAATTATTCTTATACACAGATATATATATATATATATATATCTGTGTATAAGAATAATTATGTTAAGAATAAGAATGTTCAGTTTATAAGAATAATTAATAATGAAAAATTTTAATATTACAGATGTAAAAAACTGGCTTACATTTGAAATAATAACTGTGTAAGGCTTATCTTCAGATGATATGGCTGGCATGTGGCTTTCAGTTATTTCAACATCATATTGTAAGCACACAGCATCAGAGAGCAGATAACTGGAAGTTAAAATTGTTACTCTTAAACATAGTAACAACAAAAAAAGTATCGTAAGAAATTATACTTACCAAAGACGCTTGCAATAGGCCAAAGCACAATTATGATTATCTTTGTCTTCATGAAACTCACATCTAAAGAGGTAAAATTTTACAAAGATTGTTTTTAAAAGCGGTAAAATATTTTGACAGCACAGTTAAACCCCGATATAGCGAACATAGTTTAAAGTGAACTCTTGGATAGAGTGAACAAAATGCTCACCCCCATGCCTTGCTACACACGTTATTTTTTGTGAATATAGTAAACCAAAGAAGAGAGGAAGCTCGATTTTATGGATTTTTTTTTGTTTTTGACTGATTTATTTTCCTTATTTCTTCGTAATAATTTTGAAATTTCTACTTCAAAATAAATACATATACCGATTTTAAAAACCATCTATAGGATGTAATGCAGCAATAAAATTTTTTTTTGTTTGCTTCATTATTGAATAGCATTAATGAATTGACTCAGAATTCAAAGAACCCACAATCTTCCAGCATCTGGACAAATGCTTCAAGTCAAAGCCAATGAATTAGTTAAGCAATTTGGCAAAACTACTTATAAGTGCTCGAAGGCTAGTTAGGCAGGCTTATAAAGCAGAATAACAGAAATTTAAGAAAAATTATCGGAGAATTCTGGAAGCGATTCTATATCTGGTGTTGAGGATTGCTCATCAGCTAAAGATTACTAATTTTCTTTTTTATAGGTAAGACGAAGAGTAAAATTAAAGTTAACACATTTTTGTTAGTTAGTCATTTTTGTATTTCATTTTATTGGTCGATTATTTAAACAACGTGTAATAAAAGGGGGGAGTGTACGGATGTAGGATATAGTGTAGTCCCAGTTATAGTGAACCGAAATTTCGGTCCCTTGAAGGCTCACTATAGCAGGGTTTAACTGTATTATAATCAATAACTCAGATATAAATGAATTTTTCTTTTTTTTTGGGGGGGGGGAGGAGCTGATTGATTTTGGAGTTGGAAGCTAAATATTAGCTAAAACATTTTACAACAAAGAAAATAAAAATTTATAACTCCTGCGTCAAGATCCCAAGCCAGAAGTATATGTTGAGTCAATGCTTGAGAAAGGCACATTGTGCTTGAATTAAGAAATACAAATTGTATGAAATAGATGTCTAAAGAAATTTAAGACATTAAATTCTGTAATTTAATTTATCAAGTTCTAGAAAAGCTTCGTGTTTAAAATTTACTGTTATGGAATTGAGAGAAAAAAAAAGAGTTTATTGTTAAAGTTTTATTGCGAGGAAAAAAAGAGGCAAATAAAATTCTGTTAAAAAAAAATTTCACATGAAAAAAAAAGGAGCTTAACATAAAAATATGTGTGCTAATAAGATTTTGAAATAGTAGCATTTTGTTTCACAACATTAAAAGAAATCAGCATATACTCAATTCTTTTCTGGTCCGAGAGAATACTGATTAACATTTTATGGTGAATGATTTTAGAGGACATAAAGACCATAGTTGATTTAAAACCTTATGCAAATGTTTCAAAAAAGATTATTGATGCTTTAAATATAAGTTGAGATAAGAAAAAATTTATTTCAATAATTGTTTCAAATTTCCAAACACTGAATATATATTTTATCAGGCAAATAGAAAAAATAATGAAAACAATTCTTTGACATTTACAGGCATAAAAACAGAAGAACAAAATGTCTGAAAATATCAATTCAAATCATGAAAAAACAAATAAGATAATTTTATGCAAAAAGATAACTACTACATATATACTATATTTTTACTATATGTGTACATTGACAAGTCCAACAAACTGTTAAGCTTTACATATATGTAGATATATAGATATATAATGTTACAGGGTTCCTACTCAATCTCAGGGGGAAAAAATCTCCCTGACTCTTCCAGGTATATCAGGTCAATTTCAATAAAAACCAATACCATATTTTATCTATGCTACGAAAATTCATTAGAAAATTTTGATTCTTTTATTTGTTTTATTTCTTAAACAAAACATATACCTTCAAATTCATAAATTGATTTAAATCAATCTGAGTATGAAGTTTTGATAGAAATCTGACTTTCTGTGCCTTACAAGTAAATGAATTTCAAAAATACTATATCGCGATGCAAAACTGACGATGCATCACGATATAAATTTTCTCATATCGCCCAGTCCTAGTTTTAATATAATATTTCAAGGAGAACTTCAAATCACACATTTAAGTTATCACTTTTTACATACTAGGTTACTCGCGATTTACCTGAAAAAACAGAAACCTTAGAAGTTTTATCAATCACATTTTTGTTATTTATAGCCAAGAATTTTCACATGGTTTTTAAAATCTTGACTATTTAATGCTACATAGTTTTATATGGAGAATTATGAATTGCGGATTTGAAGGATCAATTTTTGATGCACTTACTTTGCTTATTATTGTCCACACGGTTTTCTTGATTACATTTTCTAAGTATTTCTATGTAATTTTTAAATCTTCTTTTATAAAATATTACGATGATCTAAGAATTTCAAATAGATTTTAATAATCACTTTATGATATGCTATAGTTGCAACTGTTCAATCCCCAATCAGTGATTTTTTTCAAACGGCACGAGTTTTGCACGCTTTGAAACCGAATGCAGGGATTTTAGATTACAGGCATCCTTATAAGCAAGAGAAGATAAGGAGAGAGAAAATATGTAATTTATCTGCGATGTAGTGAAATACCACTATGAACACGAAACTCTGGATTTAGCTTCCATGACATTCCTTTTTTTAATCATATAATATCTGAAATTGGAAAGTCTGGTAAAAATTGTAAAAAAGCAGAAAATAATAGGACTCCTCATTCCAGTAATGTGATTTTAAAAACTTAAAACATCCAAAATCAAACTCCAAAGAAATAATAAGATGCTATTGGTGAATAATAGAAATAAAGTTTAATTTGTCACAACCGAAATTCTTACCTTGCACTAGGATGATAGTTAAAACTAGTTTTCGTAAGAAGATCACGGGCAATTGGAGCCTGAATCTCAGCATCCGCACCCCCTCTGAGACTCACTAAAAGATTAGTTGCATCCCAAATGTCAAACCAATTTTTTTCACCTGAAACAAGTAAAGATCAATTTTTTTAACACAATTTGCGATTCTCAGTTTCATATATTTTTTTTTAACAAAAATAATTGCATTTATTTTCATTAGAATTTATAATGAAAAATGCATTTTTAAAGATAAATAAATAAATAAATAAAAAATTTATGATTACAAAAATAAAAATTTATCTTTATTACTGAAGACAATTATTTATTGAATTTCATTAAAAACATATTTTTGGCACTTATATTGTTTTTTCATATTGAAATATGACATAATAGTTACCTACAGCAAATTAAAGTTATCAAAGGACATATCAAACTGGAATGAATCTTTAATAAATCATAAAAATTAGATAATAGAAAAATCATAAAAATTAAGAAGAATATCATTAGAATTAAAGAAACAAATTCAATATGGGAAAATGAAACAATAACAACTTAGCACAACATAGTAAGTTTTCAAAATCTTACCGAAATTTATTTTTTATTTCTTTAATTGATTATCTGAGCATGATTTATAGATAACATTGCGATTCTATTTTTCAGTGAATAATAACTGAGTAATTGACTCTTCATAGGCTATATTCCCAAACATAATAATACTCATCTACGAACATTGCAAATATAAATTTAACTGAAAAGGGAAGAAAAAAATAATAACAAAATCTTTCTTGATTAACAAGATCCAGTGGCACCATCTTTTATGAAAAAAAGTCAAAACACAAACAATATCCTGCAATGAAAAGGAAAATTTGCAATAATGTTGAAAGTTTTCGGGAAGCTGTGGATAATTTTTTAAATAATTTGAGTAAAAATGATTTTCCTTTTAATTTTTGTAATGTTAATTTTTTAATTAAAAAAATGATTGATGGTTTTTANTCCATGATCTTTGTTTTGATGGCTGAAAAATAAAATAAAAAACTAAATAAGTAAAGCTGATCTAGAAATCGAAAAATTACAGTTACTAATTGTTTTGTTTAAAACTATAGAGGTTTAACTCCTAGGTTCTAAAACTCATGATGATAATAAATAAAAAAGTCGTAGAAATAATTATAGTTAAAATAAAGAGACATGAATTTAGGTTTGCTTGTGATGAGAAGTTAAGGTTACATTGCAAACACAGGGTTCATGCTCTACTTTAGAAATAAAATTCAAGTACTTTTAAAGGACTTTTTAAGACTTATTATAAAATTCTCAAGGACTTAAATTTTAGTAAAAGATAGACTAAAATTTTACATTTTAAACTAAAATGTTTTGACGATAATAGTTGGTTGGCAGTCGATAACAGCAGTACTGAAAAATAAGACTTCCATTGCTCTCTTGATTTCGGAAAGTGATCTAAGTATAAAAAAAGCAAGGGCGATTGGCATCAAGTCAAGAATAAAATTCATGATTCACAAAAACGTCAGATTTGAATTTTGCACAAGGCCTATTTTAAGCTAGGTATACAACCTCTGAATAAGCAAAAATTCGAGCAGGATGAGGGGGGGGGATGTTCTATATAATACTGTGATATCAATAAGATATTTAAAAACAACTCTGCCGGGAGATTTTTATTTAATATTTAAAGTGGCAGAAGCATTTAGACAGTGAAATTTAAATTGCTCTTAAATATAATTTTGAAATTTTGACGACTTTTCTATTAAAGAAAATTAATCAATTATTGGATGTTGCGGCTTAATTATCATTTTAAATTTATTACGGGTAAACCATTTTAAATTGAATAAGTTGCCAACGTTCACCTCAATATCTTCTGATAGATTCTTACTAACAATTTTGGTCACTTAGACTGTTTTAATTAACCACTCATACTTGAATTATTTTTTTTTCAGTAGCATCGATCATACGCACTTGACATGGTCACATGAACACGAATCATAATGAGTAGTTTTCAAATAGAGTATAAATACGAAAATCGATGTTTGATATTACAACATCGATGTTTGATATTGCAACATCGATGTTTGATATTGCAAAATGCGTGGATACGAATAGCGACATTGGATTTTAAACTTGNTTGACATGGTCACATGAACACGAATCGTAATGAGTAGTTTTCAAATAGAGTATAAATACGAAAATCGATGTTTGATATTACAACATCGATGTTGGATATTGCAACATCGATGTTTGATATTGCAAAATGCGTGTATACGAATATCGACATTGGATTTTAAATTTGCGGAAAAACTAATCGCGATATTGGGGATTAAAAACGCTTAAGTACAAATCGCGATATTAGATTTTTAAATTGCTTTAATGGGAATTGCAAGTACAATTTTTGAATCACGCGAAAACGAATCGCAACACATAGCTTTTAAATCAGTTAAAATACGAAGATCGATGATTGATATTAAAATTGCCTGAATAAGAATCGAGATTTTGCCAGAATCTGGTGCAGTTCCCAATATTTAAAATTCCTAAAATCAGCCAAACATACATAAAATCCAAAAATCAAACAGTACGTGTCATCATCTGAAAGGCGGGAAAGTCTTCTCTCACACTTACGTGCGTCAAAAAGTTAAACACAGAAATGCTGGAAATAGGGCTGTTTTCCCGATTTTTCGATACTTTTCAAGGTCATTTTGAATTTTTCAAGGATTTAATATCATTTTCAAGTACTTCTAGGGGCCCTTGAAAATCAAATGAAATTCAAGTACTTTTCAAGGTTTTTTCAAGGCCGCGGGAACCCTGTTAGATCCAACCGATCACATAAACTTAAATAGCTGCAAGTATTTACTAAATTAAAGATTTAACATTTATTTGTTAACATTTAACACAATTTAACTGTGCCATGTGATAGTTTAACAGGAAATGTAGTACTTCTGGTATTAAATGTTAATGAAGAAAGCAAAAATAATAGAATTAAAATAATGGAATAAATCCAGTATACCCTTAGGTCCAATCAGCTATATTTTGTTAACAAAATGAATGATAACCTGGATTCGAAAATAAAATTTAAACTTAGGAACACAAATTTTGTAACACAATGAGAATGAAAATTGTGTAAATAGTTAAAAACAGTTTTTATCTCTATTAAAAAAAAATCTTTAATATTTTTAAAAATTTGGAAAAATTAAAAATAACTTACGAGATACATCAGCTAAGAAATCAAGACATCCATAGTTTCCTTCTATCATTTCATCAATACAAAAAAGAGGTGGATATTCATCAGAATTATCAGGATTAGTAAACTCTTTAATTTCATCATACACTTTCTTCAGATTTCTTTCGCTGCAGCTTTCTCCATAAATATCAATTTCATGTACTTCACCTATAAAAAAAAAAAGAAAACTTGTTTCTATACAAAAATCAGTACATTCCAAGAAATTTTTTTAAAAAAGGTTATAGTTCGATAATGGTTCAATTTTAAATGGTTGTAGGAAAAATTTATGTAGTTATTACCTTTTCTAAATTAGTATGCAGTGAAAGCTTAGCACCAAAGGACAATCTAAGTGGTCTGTAGGCAAGACGCGGCCACGTAATAGGAATCGCGATGCGTGATTTCAAATCATGGAATTTAATTTAAAACCTCACATGCATTGGTAGAAAAAACTTAAAAAGGTTTTTTTTTTTTTTTTGCAAATTCAAAAAAGACAAACTTTCTTTGGAGAGGTGGATAAATTCTTCATTTTTTTAGTAACAAAATATTTTCTGTGAATGGTGCCCGCATGTTTGTGTACATTATACGGATCTGGTGTGCACTAAAAATAACACTTTACAACCTCAAGAAATTATTTGATTATAAATAGATAAAAAGAGAAATTTAACTTACTTAAACGTTTCGCTTCGCCAGCATAACCAGTGGGAATACGACCTACAAAAATAAATAATGGAGTGGAACATTATGAGTCTGTTTTAATAAGTACAATTACATTAAAAATGAATGAATTTGTCTTGATTTTTATTGTTAAGATTACTCAAGATATGCTTTCAAAAAGAAACATTTTTATTATAAAAATAAAACTGATCTTGACACTGTCATATGCTAATCCTGTTTTGGCCTTTCTTTTATTACTCCAAATTATTATGTATGACCCTCTAACTTAATTGTTTAAATAAAAGGTCTGAATAAAGCAAATTATTAAATATCCATGATTAAGCTTTACAAAAAAAAAATCTACGCAATGTATCCATAACTACCAGAAATTATTTATAGTCATAGCCTATATTTACTTCTTCCAAAAAAAGGTATAGCTGAAAGGTATATATCCTTCTCTTTTTAAGTAAGAAATAATACTGTTTTAGAAACCAATTAAATATCACTATGATTTAAATCTTATATTGCATTTTAATTGGTGTCTTTAAAAGTATAAGAATTTTTTTTTTAAAAAAAAACTCTCACTTATCTTTAATAACCAGAAAAATTTGTATTTAATACAAATTTTCCTAACTATAATAAACCAGGCTAGCTCTCTATGTTATTTTTATAACATTTTAATTAATATAAAAAATACAAACACAACACTAACAAATATCAAACAACATTTTCGTACTACATATACACATCTACTTGTAAACAAAACGTTCTACAGAAGAATCCGAGAGGATCATGGGTGAAGTTTTCCCTAGCTCCCTCTTTCGGGCAAACCAGGCATTACATAACTAATTACTAATTTATTTACCTTACCTAAGATTTTACAGAATCTATGCCCAGGTAAGAATTTGTTTTATTTAAATATTATTTTTGAGAAAATAAAAATATCAGAACTGCCAACATGGATAGGAAAAAATCCAGTAGATTTTACGAAATAACGGAAATTTCATGATAATTGTTACATTATGTACTAAATACTTTACACATTTTCAACATCATCAAAATAAAACAGCTGCAATATTTTCCAGCCAGGATTGACACTAAATAAACTTGAAATGCTATGTATTATGATTACACATAATTCGAAGGCATTTCAATTCATCAAAGATAGTTAAAAGTATTTTAATTCAAAAAGGGAGTTCTGAATAAATAAAAACAAATAATAAAAAAACGATACATTTTAGAACAAAAAAAGTTTTAAATTGATTTTTATAAATGATGCTCGCTTTATAATGTATCAGCGATACGCATTTAAATATTCAATCAAGCAGTAATCAGTGCAAAAATGATATTTCAATGGGTATTTCTTTTAGGAAACTTACTCAATTTTAGAGAATTTTCTAAAATTGCACAAAAACCAGGAGAATTTTTATTAAACCAGTAGACCAGGAGAAACTAACCAAAATTCAGTAGTCTACTGGAAAATCTAGGAGAGTTGGCAGATATGAAATATTCAAACACATCTTAGACCTTTAAAAGGAATATAATTCTGAAAATCATTTTCTTTATTAGCAACCCTTGTCTTATTTTGCTTAAAATTATACCAACTCAGTAAGGTGTGTCTATTTTATGCATTTTCAGGATTTGAAAGCCAAAAAACAAAATTCTTTAATAAATCCTTGGGGAAAAAATGCAGATGATTTAAAAAAGATTCTTGCTAAGTTAAAAAGAGAATCAATCATCAATTTTTTAGAAAAATTGTAGAATTAATTCCTAAACTAAGTTATTGGATTTTAAATTACCTTTAATGCAGTTGGGATATTGAATAAAAACTAATTTTCTGTATTGCAATTTCAAATCTTAGCAACCTGGTGTGTCTCCTCAGAGGTATTCTTATATAAAACTTGAATAATAAATTACAAAATCTTGTAGTTTTTTTCCCCTTTTAACTCTAAAATTATCCAATGAAATTATCGTACTTAAGATTTTCATTTATGTAACAATTAATAGGGAAAACAACAAAGATCTGAAGCAGTAAATTTGTTAAGGTAGACCATCAGTCTAACAAATAGCATAGTTCTTAATGCAGTAAGGGTTTTTAATACAAATCATTCAGTTCTCAGTACACAAAAAGAATAATGAAATAAAAGCTACAAACATTGCAGTTCCTCAAGTGCCAAAATATTTTTTTTTCTGCTACTCCTCCAAGAAAATAATGCACTCCTATTATAGTCAATGCAAATAAGGGTGAAAATTTGATGACAAATGTGTTTTGAAAATTCAGTTCGATTTAGATTTAGTATTTCTTTAAATGCGAATTGCAATGATGGTTTCTTATATATAATCAAATAAAGACACAGAATTAAAGCTGCATATTTATCTTTACTTGTAGATGAAATTACTAAAAAAAAAAAATAATAATAAACACTATCGGATATTAATGCAGTAATAGAATATCAAATATCATTGCCTTCCCTTGGTATACATTGGTTTATTAGTAATGAAAAGTCTTAATTTTTCAAATAAAACTTTTCTTGAAGGTCTGTTTTGTTTACATAAAGACAGAAAAGTCATAAATGTGCATATTAATAGATGGATAAGGAAGTAAAGAATTTATTGTTTACTAGATATCATAGATCATTTTTTCATGTTAACTCTTTTCTATCTTTTGCTTTAATTTTTAAGATAGTGGAGTTTATTTTATTTCCAGGAGAGCTTAAGAAATTTATGAAAATTTAAAATTTAAATTTTTAATGCACATTCATTTTGAAAAGCAAAATAAAATTGAAATCAAGAATATTTCTATTTTTTTATAATGAATGAATTCTTTTTAAAGATAATATTTTTTAAATAAATAAATTTCATTAAATTTCCTACAATATTTGTTATTCTCTAATATACTAACTTATAAGCTAATAAGCACAGAGTTAATAAATATGCTAACTCATAAGCTAATATAATTGAAAACATGTATTTAATAAAAGTAAAACATATGAGGGTTGCTATTTATATTTCTGGCCTTGGCGACAGTAAGTGTTGCTAGGTGACCACAGACGATTTTAATCGAAAGTTTGATATTTTTAAACATAAATTCAGCAGACGATTTACCCTTATAGCTTTATTTGTGTTGTTGACAGTAAATTGAAAAGTTCTTCTCTTTCAAAAAATGGAATTGAATCGTGAACATTTTCGTGCCATTATTTTTCATAACTTTCGATGTGGATTGTCAAGACAAGAGTGCTTTGATGAACTTAATTCTTTATTCAGCGATAAAGCGCCATCCTACAGCACTGTAAAAAATTGGCATAAAGAGTTTAATCGTGGTCGATGTTCGATCCAGGACGAATCCCGTGCAGGTCATCCAAAATCCGTTGCTGTGCCAGAAAAGATTGATGCTGTGCGTGAACTGATAAAGCAAGATCGTCATGTGACATACCGTGAGATAGAGGCATCTTTGGACATTAGTATGACTAGCATCAATAAAATATTGCATGAACATTTGAGCGTAAAAAAATTTGTTCAAAANTTTAATAAAAGTAAAACATATATTTTACATAAGTAAAACATATATTTTACATAAGTAAAACATATATTTTACATAAGTAAAACATATATTTTATATAAGTAAAGCACACATTTAATACATCAACTTCACTTAGAATATAACACATGATACAGTTACAACAAAAAAATTTCATTAGAAAATGTAATCTAACTTAGGGGCAGTATTTTTTTTTTTTTTAAATAAAAAACAAATTCCATTTAAAACTTTTATATTTTAGTGATTAGTGCTTACTAGCAATTAAAATTACCATAATTTTATGGGATTATCATTATTTCATAATATTTTATGTTAATCTAAAATTATGTTTGTTGATCTCAAATTGTTTTACTATATAGTAATATAAATACTATTTAGTCTTCAGTGATAATTGTTTTATTCTTCCCTTATACAAAGTACTATTTTAAATTATCAAATCGATATGTTTATGAAGAGAAATAAATGCATTTCATAAACTCTGGAAAAGAACTAATTTTGAGCTATTAAAAAACCACTAATATGAAATTTTCAAATTAATACTAAATCAATCGCTAATTAAATTTGTATTTATTTTATTGAATTCTACATATTAAATATTTTTTGTGCATATACTTAAAAAAAAAATAGTACAATGGCATGATTTTAAAAGAACCAAGGATGTTAGGATTGTATTTTCCTAAATCTATAGGAATCAATAATTAATAAATATACAAACCTGGATAAATGATCTTGTGGTACTCTCTGTGAATTCCATTTTTGATTGAATATTCCACTAAGCCAACTTCATTAGGGTAATAATGTGTTTCTGTTTTACACATGAGATTAAAAGCAATAAAATAAAATGGCCTTCTCGACGTAAATTCTAGAAAAATATAAGTGATAAAAAACATAAGGTTGCTATAGTTTAACAAAGTAAATTTTGTAACATAAATTTACCAGTAGATTAGACTTATTGTTAAACTTATTGTGAGCTCAACTTAAAATGAAAATTTCTTGAGTAAAATCATTAAAGATGCATGACAAAAAATTAATGTCTTTATAAATTTAAATTATCAATATTTTCACAACATAAAATTCTAAATAAATTATATGCAGCATAATTCAAATTATTAATTATGTATAAGTTTACTTTTATCTCTAATCAACAGAAAAAATATTTACAAATGAAAGAGAAGCCGAGTATAAATTTTTTCTCTAATACTTTTAAATAAAATATGCAAGAATTTTTATTCATAAATATGATTGGTGATTTCTTGAAACTTCTGGAGCTTGGATTTCCGAATTGCGATTAGCGAAAAATCCATAAATCTGGATTTTTTCCGGAGCATAATTATCTCTGATTTTAAAACAAGAGCTGCTTCATCAATTCGCTTCCTATGTCCATAAAAATTTCTACACATTAATTTTTCCACATTTTTACTTCTTAGAATGAATTCAATTTCATGCAATACATATTATTAAAGTTGCTAAAAATGTTTAAATTATTTTTTTACAAGAAAGGTTTAATAAAAGATATTCATGACTAAACAAATACCATCTCTTCACAGAATGAAATGATAGTACCCATAGGAAAAAATGGGAAATATATAAAATGTTTTTAGCAAATGGCTCATGAGTAGGGCCCTATATATTAGACAGAAATATTTTTACAATTTTACGATAAAGATGGCTAGGTTGCGGATGACTTAGGAAACATTTGAAACTGAAAAAAATTACTTAATTTGGAAGAAAAAAAAACTTTTAATTTTTTTCCCTTCTCACTTTAACTGCAATTTATCTATTACAAAAAAATTATAACATTTTAAGAGTAATGTGTTTAAAATTACAAATTGTAAAAATATTTATTACTATAGAAATTAAAAATTTCACCATTTGTGATTTTAAATGCTACTTTTTACGAAATTTATAGTAAGGATTTCAACTAATATTGCAAGTTTTAAAATTGTTGATGTTGTAATTGCACACGAAAATAATGTTGAAAGATTAATATGGAAGTTAGGTCGAATAAAAGATATTTTTTCAGGCAGAGATGGTAGAATAAGGTCATGCGAAATCCAATTAAAAAACAGTGTTGTAAATAGACCCATTGAAAGACTTAACTTATTAGAAAGTAATTGATTACTTTGTTTATTCTTTGTTTGAAATATTCATTAAATGTTGATTTTTTTGTAAGTGTATAACATTTGTATGGTTATTTGTAATAGAATGCATCGTTAAACCAATGCATTGGAGTGGGCTGGATGTAGAAAGTTTATGTTTTGAATTAATAGATGGTGTTGCCCACTCTTTTGTTTTGGCTATTCTAATGTTTACTTTTTGTTTTGTTGTTATTAAAGAATATGAATCCTTACCTCTGTGATGCTTTTTTTTATACCATGAGGTTTGTTGGAAGAGTATGAAACATTTTTTTCTATCTTAGCTTTCACTCCTAAAATTATTGATACTTAATGATTTTTATTTTTGAGATAAATGTGTTCATACACATATTTATCTCTTCTTTATTTAAAGCTTTGTAATTCCATTATCCTGCACTATTGATTTTAAAATAAAAATACATTTTAGAAATAGTTTGTACTGTACTTTTGTAAAAAAAAATTGATGTCTCATTTTTAAAATTATGAATAGAAGTTATTCTACTTCATACATATTAATTATTATTATCTTTAATGGAGAGGGGGACAAATATTTTTTCTCACATTTGAAAGTTAGCTCAAACTGGCCCCAATTCTTCACAATGACAGTTTAATGTTTTAACCACTGAAGCTCTAATTTGCTAAAACAGGGTGGCCACTCAAAACAGATTTCAAATTTCCCTGATTTTTCCAGGTTTTCCAGGTAAAAATCTTAAAATTTCCAGGTTTGTGCATTTTTCCTTTTTTCTTATAAAGTGTAGGATGTGTACAAGAAAAGTGTCTGTATTATAAAATATCTTATTCAAAATGTCATTTTTTTAAACATATCTTGAAAAAAAAAATTTTTTTTTGTACAAGATATTTTTTTATTATTTTTTAATGTTCTGGTACAACATTAATTTTTAAAAAANTACATTCAAGAATAGTCAAAATTTCTTGCAATATCTTGAAACAGATCATCGTTGAATTGAAAGCATCGTCATTTTTCTTTAGTATACAACTGGATGAAACTACACGCATCTTGAATTGTAGTCAACTTCTTGTTTTTGTTCGTTATTTATCTCTTGATACTATCAAAGAGGAATTCTTATTTTGTGAGTCGCTTTTGCAAACTACAAAGGCAGTTGATGTCTTAATAATGTTAAATGTTTTCTTTACTAAACACGACTTCGACTGGAAAGAAAAACTTCATTCACTTTGTACAGATGGAGCACCTGCGATGCTTGGCAATAAATCTGGTTTTGCCCTGTTGGTTAAAAAAGAGTCTCCTAATGATCTTGTTACTCATTCATACCTTCCAACTTTCAATCCCTTCAAGGATGATTTTCCCCAGTGGTAGTAAATTTAAATTTGAAATGCAATTTTAGGCAGTAACATTCGCTGCATTTTGAACAAGCTTATGCGGATCACAACAATAGTATTGCATACTAATATATATATGTATAATTTTCTTACAAATAGTGGTAGATTAAAAATATTAAAAATTAAGTTTATAAATGCAAGGAATACATAGAAAGCATAGATTTTACTACCATTTCAAATATAGAAATAAAATTTTACACCAAATGCGTAAAAGTTGGCAGGTATGCTAATTTTTTTTTTTTTTTTTTTTTTTTTACATAGACATGCACTGGCTACAAAAACTCTTTAAACCAGCTTAAGAAAAGTATTATCAATAGTTATCAAAACTGTGAATTTTATTAGAAGTACAGCTTCTAATCATCGTCTTTTTAAACCACTATGTCAAGAACATGAGGTACTTCTGTACAACATGGAAGTGCGCTGACTGTCATGAGAGCAGGTTTTGAAACAAATATTTATGTTGAAGACAGAAGTATCACTTTTTCTAGAAGAAAAAAATAACCCACTCTTCGAATATTTCAACAACAAAAATTATTTTACATATAAATTGGCTTACCTGGCAGATATTTTTAACCACATGAACAATATAAGTCTTTTAATTCAAGGGCCTGATATCACCATTATGGATGTCATTTCCCTTTATTCCCTTCTAATAATTGATGTTTTTTGCAATTATTTTTTTCACAGGGGGGTGGTCCGTGACTTCTTAAAAAATTTTAAAAGGGGTCCATTGTACCAAAAAGGTTAAGAAACACTGATCTAGATAGTCTGAAAAGGAAGTTAAAACTATCCACACAGATAGTGTCGTATTTGCCTTACGTTAACTTATATATGAGTTTTGGGTAACTCATTAATTTCAAAGCATGAAGGTACTTTCGGATTGTATACCGATAGGCTTATCTTCTGAAATATATATATATACCCTGAGACAGAATTTTTTCTGGCTTTCTGCTACAAATCTTTAATAATAATAACAAATATGCATGTTAGTAATTTAAAATAGCAGAAGCTTTGTGTTTACAAAAAAAGAACCCCATTCAGATAAAATAAAAGTACATACAACTTTTTTTAAAAGAATATGCAATATTTTTTTTTAATTCTAATATTATGGTTAATATTATCACCTTTTGTAGAGGGAAAACAAACTAAAAATTGTAAAGCACTTTGTAAATTATCATCACATAAAAAAACATATATAATAAAAATCATAGCAACAACTACTGGAAAAAGATTGACAGAGGAACCGTGTGAATCTCATTCTTCAAAAAAGAGTTACTATATGCAAAGTTGGCAAAACTTTTGCTAAAACAAATCTTTCATAAGAAATACATAAGCCGTTACGTTCTTTCTAAATTATGTCAATTACACAACTTTCTTTCTCATTAAACTGTTCACTAAGTGCTGTTTGAGACATTCAGCCACATAACAAAAAATATTCTGAAAATTATACACAAATTTACAAATTCGCAACAATGTACAGACATACATGGTATTTATAGGTGTATGTTAACATTTTAAAATTTTATTTTTGATACAAACTTGCTATAACCAAAGATTTATTCATTCTACGTGCTTGATCCCTAAGACAACTTAAAAGTAGTAACACTAGCAAAATATTTTCCAAAGATTCATTAAAAAAGCGAAAAGCTTATTTCCATTCCTTAGGTTATTAGCTCTTAAAAAAGATGGTCTTAGCTACTAAAAATCGTGTAGACTCATGTCTATACCAAAAAGAAAAAGATGCAGATTTACAACAAGAAAAATAAAAAAATTTTACAGGCTAAGTAAATAATTTTAACCAAAGTGATCTGAGTTTTATTAAATACAGCACAACATTACTGATTCAAAACGCATGTCTATAATATCAATTAAACAAAGAATACGTAAGTTACAAAATTAGACAAAAATCTCATTCTCACAAATAAAATAAAAATTTTAACACAAAATATATTATTGTGAACAAAACAACCACATGGCAAGATCCCTTAACACATTTAAAGTAAAATTAAAGCATCAAAGTTACAACATAAAACTCTTGGTGTTCAGTCTAAACAGTTCTAACGATGACAATCAAAAACAAACTGAAAAGAACTTAACAAACTTAATTGGCTTTCATCCTAAAAGAAGAGTGGAGATATTTTTTCTTTTCTTTTTGTTAACAATAAATGATTTACAGTAGAATTCAAATGTTCAGAAAGCAAACTTATCATTTAATACAAAATATTTTGCTGGGATACCCCAACAACATTGTTTGTCATTTTTTCATCAAAATAAAAATTCATATAAAATTTACATTTAGAAATGGAGAATTTGACTGGTGCCTTTAAAGTAATCCATCAAACCACATTTAGTTAAAATGTTCTCTAGTTTGCAAAAATCATGAATTCTAATTTATTATTTATTAAGATTTAAACATTTTTATTTTCTGAAAGAAATATTTATAATTGATACAAAAATACTGAAGAAAGAAAAAGAGGTTATGTAAAACATATAAATTTAATCCATTGAAAATTCAACAGTTAACAAAAATTTTCTTTAATGTTTAAGAAATGTATAGTGGGTTCCAAAAACTAAGTGCCATGGAACAGGGTCAACAATAATCATAATAATAAGTTAGAAACTTACTTCTACTCGAGTTCCATCAGAAGCTAATTTGCCACCACGGAGGCAAGGATCATTTTTATGTTTCTCTGCGAGTTTTTCATATGGCTGTTTTTCAGCTACAGACAGTCTCTGTGGAAAAAAAAATCAATTTTAAATTAAAATAATAAACTTGAAATGTATCTTTAATTCAAATGTCATGAAACTAAATCTAAAGAATTCTTCAGTCAAAATAATTTTTAACAACTTTAAAAACAATTTTTAACAAATTTTCCAAAAAATAATCTTTGAAAAATAACAAATGAAAATCTAGATAACTATGGATATTAACAGTAAAACACTATTTAATGAGTGTTAAGAATATTGGGTAATTTTGAAAAATAGAAATAGCCTCCAACAATTTTAACTGTGTTTATTCACGATGTCTACCAATTGGTTGTAACAAAATTAATTTAAGAGTTGAAACAACTGGTGGAACTCTAACCCAAAGAATCTGTTTTAAAAACACGTTTTCCCTAATGTAAAAATGTGATTTCTAAGTAATTGTTGTTACGGATTTAAACACTGCTAATTTGGTTATTTAGCCTGTTATTTTTTATTACAATCTTATGAAAAGCAAATGTCAGATATGCCCTTGTAATTATGTATCATCTTTCGCAATAATTCCATCATATACTACACGATCTTCTGTAGAGATAGTTATTACAACCGATTTCCCTCTAATTCATAAAATCTTTATTTTTACTTCAATTTTATTATGACACGCTAATTTCAAATTGCAAAATATAGTATTAACTCTGTAATGCCCTTATAGTGAGTCAATTTCATTGCTTATTCACAGTCTTGTCTTTCATTTTACAGCATTATTGTTGAAGATTTTTATCCCATAGTATTTTATTTAAAATCCAGTAATTTTTAAAAGGATTTTTGGCCACTATTCGGTATTCACTCCTTTTGCAGTCAGTTGGCCAAATGTTCAACAAAATATTCGGTGGAATGTGCAACAAGGTATTTTTCAGTAAAATTATTTTTTTTTAATCGACTTAATAAAGAATAATCTAAAATGGTATTTTTAATTCTACAGTATTATAAATAGTTCCAGTTCATGTTAAGTTCTAAGACTTGCACACGGCTTTCAAATTTATGTTGACAAATGGAAAAGCGAAATTGGAAGAATTAAAGCTAGATTATTTTATGCTGAACCACAAGTTACGTACCACTCTTATTACGTACTCTTATTCAGGCGAGTCAATTTCATCATTTTTTCCACACTTTTTCTTCTAAGATTTAAGAAAGTTTTCTTTCATTTTTACTATTTTTATAAGAATGTAACATTTTAAAGTTGTGTTTCTGATAGACACTATTCTTTTATTATCACTTTTTTCAGTACATTAATATAGACAACCATAGAATGTGCGCTTGAGTTATGTAAAAAATGACAAAACTTTAGTTTTTTTCTTTTTTCTGTTTCTCTTTGGCTTTTTTTTTTTTTTTAGCAACATTTTTACTACAACACAGCAGTTTTTAAAGGGCATCAAGAAACTTAAATCTTTTATCGTCACACTTTATAAAAATATGGCTATGTGAAAAAGATTTAAGATTTTCAGTGTTAAATACTTTTTTTAAATAAAATTAAGAACGATATGTGTTTTGGTTTTGATCTAACTTGCTTGTTTGTTTTTTTAAAAAAAGTTTTTGTTTCAATCAACCTTTTTACTATAACGCAGCATTTAAGAAGGTTCCTATTAGATATTCTTTTTCTTAATATGATAATTAGAAAACTGAGATATTCTTTAGAGTATTAAGATAAATTTTATTTTTTTCTGTTTCGCTTTTGTATATAATCTTTTGTTTTTAGTAAATCCTTTCTTTTTACATTAAGTAACAAATTTTTAGTATAAACTAATTACAAACCATTTCCATTTGAACGAGCACTTTTTTAAACTTTCATTTCAAGCTAAGTCATTCTAATGACTTATCTTGAAATACTGAAAAGATAACTAAAGTTATCTCTTCAGTAGTTATCCCTGCAAATTTCAAACTGCATTTTTTTTTTACCAGTGGCACAAACTTTCAAACATTTCTTGGAAAGAAAAATGCTGTTTTACTTGAATTTTTAAAAATTAGAATTGCAGATTAAAATATTTTTAAAAGAAATATTGAATAATAAAAACTTGACTTAATGAAATATTTCAGTGCTTATAGAACTAAAAAAGTAGTTATTTAATGGATACTTAGCTACTATGATAAAAAGCAGCTTTGTTTCATTGCTAAAATAGGTATCCAATTATAACAGCCAAATTGTCTAAAATGCTTGTCCAGACTATGAAACTATATGAAATATGTAAGAAAAATTATGCATGAGTCAAAGATATAAGAACCTGTTATTTCAAACACAATTATCACTTACAACTGCTTATCCTTAAATTTAACTATTTTAAAACAGGTATTGATTTGATTATTTCTTATATTTCGACATTTGCTTATTGTTATTATTTTTGGTACATTGCTTGTGTACTTACCCTGTCCCATCAGGCATAAAAATATTAAGCTAAGAGCCAGCCTAGAATAAAAAATGCTGAAATGACACGAAAACGTCGAATTGCCAACATAACTTTTGAGATCTTAATGAATTATCACAAAAATAATGTTATTGTGGCTTATCTTCCAACTGTTTGATGAAGTCAGACAAGATCCAATAGACCAATAACCCTTATTAAATGGAAGTATATAAATCTTCTCTAGAAAGATCCGAGCAAGACATGTTAGGCAGAGGTCTGCTGAGCTTGACATTTACAGCAGACAGCAAGAATCATCCTGTTTTCAAAGAAAGAGAGATTCTTTGAGTGCCCTCTTGCCAATCTTGAAAATGCCATGCATGAGTCTCTGTCACAATTGAGAACAAATAAACAGCTTGCATACCAGTTCTTTTAACTTGGATACCAGTCATGATCAGGAGTCTTCCTGTCCATTGAAATTTCAGGTTTAACCTTAGACTCATGCTCTGAGAAGGTAAGGGCCAAAGAGAAAGGTGTAGCATAACAAAAACTCTCCTTGGCTAAGCGATTCGCTTGCTCATTGCCATAGATGTCAATGCGGGATGGAAAATGAACATCGCGCAGCTTTGAAATAAGTTTAAGAAGGATGGAAGTGCTAGTTTTATCTCAAACTGTAATCTAATTGTAAAGGCGTTGAAGGAAGCTGCGACTATTCGAAAGAATCGAAGAAGTTCCGCTTGTTGAGAATAGTTTTGAGGCCTTCATTTGCAATAAGCTTGCATTTAAAACTGAAGAGAAATCAGGGTAATGATGATCGACAACTTTTGTATGCTGGTTTCTCAATATAGATACCACTACCAGCATGGTCCCTCAGCTTTCTGCCATTCATAAACATTTTTAGGGCATTATCTGGGATCTCATACCAGCTGCTTAAGATGAATTGGAATAAAGTTTCAAGCTACTGGTGCAGAAACGCTGAAGTGGAAATGAACTCTGGGAAGTTTCTCTGAGGGATTCAGGCAAGATTTTAAGGAGTGGGATTCAACTTCAGCCCAAAAGCAAGTGCAGAAGTTCAACATGACTGAATGAACTATTTTTCTTCAGTCGCTGATTATTATGCAAGTTGTTTCGGTACACAAGGTTTTCATTACGCTGACCATAGCAAGAAATATTATTCAAATATTTTGTGAGGTTAGTTTTTCTAGTTACAAAAATACTGAAAACACCTCTCAAAAACTACTGAATTCAGTAAATATACTGAAGAAAAAAAAGTCAGAACAATAGTAAATAATATCTCAGTGGAAAAATGAAGGGGGAAAATGCTAAGAAGAGAAAGAATTAATGTTAAACATAAGGAAAAGATTTCCATAACGGCATCTTCCTCACAATAATCACCAACTTATAGCGACTTTTCTGTAGAGGACAGGGAGAAACTAAACAAAAACAAAAAAAAACTATTACAACTAAAATGGAAAACCAATAAGCCTGGAAAGCCAAGGTAAACTTATAAAAAAAAACATCAGCAGGTTAAAAGAAAAAAAGCCTTGGCGATCAATAGATGCCAACAAATACCAATACGTTAACATTCTCAACACAACATATACGTAATTTAAAAATGCAGTGTTAAACTGCCAGGCTGAAAAGTAATTTATTATAGATATCTTTCCACAATATGTTTTTACTTACTGCCCAAATAGGATGAGCTATTTGAGGCATATTCTCCATGGTAATTCTTATTCCTTTAGCAGCTTCTGTTTCTTGCATTTCCTTCATGAAAAAATAAAAGCTATTTTTCTTTTTATTTTTCGGAGCCATTCTTTTTAATCAATCAAATAGTTAATTTATAAAAATATGAATTGCAAATGTCAACGTAGAGACCTACAAAATTAGGGCATAAAATGAAAGTGTTCCAGGAAAAAATAAAAACCACGATGAGTACGGTGACTAGCATCAATAGCTACCGACATCAATAGCTACCGACTGCTTACTTTTGTATTTGAATTTCAACAAATGTGTTTTCTTTTTTTTTACTTTTAAAATTCCTAATTAAAATATACAAAAGAGAATACAAAAAAAATATAATTGTTTTTAAATATAAATTGGCGAAAAGTTCCGTTTACTCGACGGGAAAGGAAGATAACGTTTCTGGCGGAGGGAGCCAGTTTTCCTCTGATCATGACTTACAGTCACTCGAAAAAATAGCTGAGCACCGTGACCCTTGCAAAATAAAATTGGAAACGCAAAACGACACAATAAATAGTCTCAAGCCTCGATTCTCACTGCTCTTTTGTCGTGACACCATGATTGGAAACGTTCTCACTGCCCTCTCGTGAAGCAGTCCATTGTGTATGTGAAATGGGTGACCCCCCCAGAAAGCCCTGTCCAATGCATTTTCAAGGGGTCTGCACCCAAACGCCCAATGTTGGCGTTGTGTGTATTTTAAAAAAATGGGACGAGTCCCCAATGAGGGGGACTCGTCCCATTTTTTTANGGGGGGTCACCCATTTCACATACACAATGGACTGCTTCACGAGAGGGCAGTGAGAACGTTTCCAATCATGGTGTCACGACAAAAGAGCAGTGAGAATCGAGGCTTGAGACTATTTATTGTGTCGTTTTGCGTTTCCAATTTTATTTTGCAAGGGTCACGGTGCTCAGCTATTTTTTCGAGTGACTGTATACGCCTCTTCCTTTTCATTGGCTCAATTCTCAAGTTTTAATGAGTCTTTTAAAGGCACAACAGTTTTTTTTTTTTTTCACTAAAGTATAATTCATATTTAATTCAAACATTTTATTCATTTTTCAATAAGATGAAGATTTAAATGAACTATGCATTTTTCAATACAAAATGCATTTAAAAAATTCCTAATAAAGAAATCGACATTGTTATGATTAATCAAGATAGATCTGAGGAAAACGCTTCTAAGAAAGCTTAGACATTTAGAATGTTTTACTTTAACCTTATTTTTATTAATTTTTAATTAGGATGAAGATCTTATGAAAATTACCTTAAAAGTTTGCAATTTCAAATGTAAGAAAACTTTATATAAGGTATTTTCATTGCAAAAATTGCTTATTGCTTTTATCGCTAAATTCAGCATTTTCAGATGCGTAATTAGGAAGAAAAAAATTAAACTTTTTTATTCCAAATGCATAATAAAAATTCCTCACAATGAAAAACATATTGTTACGCTATTTAAGCTAATAATGAACTATAGATTTGAGAAATGAGTTAAAGAAGCACTTTATACATTTTTAAAAAAATTGCCTCACTTATTTGCTTTTTCAGATGTGTGAGATTTTATTAAATCGTTTTTCGTCAAACTAAACATTTAATCAGAAAAAGGTTATAATTTTCAATTGGAAAGATATATAATAAATTATTCACAAAGGAATTGATACTTTTACGCAAATAAAAAAATAAGATAGATCTGAAAAAGAAGACCTGAGAAAGCAATTAATGCATTTAAAGTGCTTTATTTTTAACCTTATTATTTTATTCATTTGTTTGCAGTTTCAATAGTCATAAAAGTTTTTAAAAAATATTTATATTTATTTCATTATCATAAGCAGCACTTTACTTTAACCTTATTACTTTATTCATTTTCAATAAAATGAAGATTTTAATGAAACTACTTCAATAGTTTGCAGTTTCAAAAGTTATAAAAATTCAGAGAATTTTTTTTATTTAATTTTAATCCGATCAAATTTACTTTAACATTATTTTATTCAAATGCAATTTCCAAATTGATAAAGTACGAGAACCAAGTTTCATTTTATAACTATACGACTAAAAAAGAGTGCAATTTCTTATAACATTACTAAATAAGATATTATATAATAGTATAAGAAAAAAAAAGAATGGTAGATTCAAAATAAATAATAAGAAAATCTTCACAGAAAAATAGATATTTTTTCACAAATAATAATTAATTGGGGGATATCTTAGGAAATGGATCTACAAAAGCAAATTATGCATTTAAAATAATTTATCCTTAGAAGGCAACAGTGAACTATTTTGTTAATATGAAATATATTTCAGATGTTTTTGTATGTAGTTTTAAAAACTTAAATAAACATGTATAATAAATTTAGTTAAAGTGCCTTGACATAAGAGTTTCTCTGTTTCTTCAGTTTGATTATACCAAACTGCACTTTAGTATACATAAGAGTAAAATATAATTTATATTTTAGGGCTCTAAGAGAAGTTTTGCTTTCATTTGTTCTTTAGCATTTATGCTATTTTTAACCTAATTGATCTGTTTTATCCATCATGATTGCTTGCATCTTAAAATATATCCATAGTTGATTTATCGAGAAAATTACATTGTCAACTTTCATCATAATTAACAACACTTAAACTCGAAAAAAAGTTGTTCACAAGTATAATACTAGTTTCCATTGCACGTATTTCAATTATAAATTTGGAGTTAAATTATAAAAAAAAACTATAACTTTAAACGCGATAAAAGCTTTTGTTGAAATTTTAATCAAATCAGTAAAAAAATTATTTCATTTATATATTTAATTATTTATTTATTTATTTATTTATTTATTTTTTTTTTTTACTAAGAAATTGAAAATAAAAACACTTCTGAGAAAACTCCAAACAAGTTAATACAATCAATGCATCTAAATACGACTTCAGGTCAATGCTCTTCACAGTCATAAAATCTTAAAATTAAATTCCAGCTTAGAGTTTCAGATTAAAACTAAATTTGAAAGATTTGATTAAAATTATTACTAAATATAGCTAAGAGAATTTTGTGTTTTAATATTTGTGTTACATGATCTTATGAAAACACAAAACACAAAATCAAAGTCAAAACTTATCTTAATAATTACTATATTAATATAAATTTGAGGTCCACTTTTATTTTCGATGTTGAGCTGGAATAAAAGATTATTACTGATGTAACGAATGTTTGAATTAGAGTTGTACCATATCCTAAAATTTTACTGGGTTTGAGTACCCCATAAATAAAGAAAAGAAAAGAGAGACTTTGCAGTGAACGAGCCATTAGACAATGCCAACCTTCATCTATCAAAAGGTATCTCAAAATTGAATCAAGTTATCATGTCTTATATATAAGTGAATTGATGTTAAAAAATAGTAGTGGTAGTTACGCCACAATTCATCCCCTCTGTATTTGTGAAAGACCAGGAGAGCTGGATTAAGGTCACCAGGTTTTGAGCTTTANCTGAGAAAGCAATTAATACATTTAAAGTGCTTTACTTTAACCTTATTATTTTATTCATTTGTTTGCAGTTTCAATAGTTATAAAAGTTTTAAAAAAAATATTTATATATATTTTATTATCATATGCAGCACTTTACTTTAACCTTATTACTTTATTCATTTTCAATTAGATGAAGATTTTAATGAAACTACTTCAATAATTCGTAGATTCAAAAGTTATAAAAATTCAGAAAAAAGTTTTATTTAATTTTGATCCGATCAAATTTACTTTAACATTATTTTATTCAAATGCAATTTCAAAATTGATAAAGTACTAGAACCAAGCTTTATTTTATAATTATACGACTGTAAAAGAGTGCAATTTCTTATAACATTACTAAATAAGATATTATATAATAGTATAAGAAAAAAAAAAGGAATGGTAGATTCAAAATAAATAATAAGAAAATCTTCACAGAAAAATCGATATTTTTACACAAATAATAATTAATTAGAGAATATCTTAGGTAATGGATCTACAAAAGCAAATTATACATTTAAAATAATTTTAGCTACAGTGAACTATTTTAATATGAAATATATTTCAGATGTTTTTGTATATAGTTTTAAAAACTTAAATAAACATGTATTATAAAATTAGTTTCAGTGCCTTGACGTAAGAGTTTCTTCAGTTTGATTATACCAACCTGCACTTTAGTATACATAAAAGTAAAATATAATTTTTATTTTAGGGCACTAAGAGAACTTTTGCTTCTATTTGTTCTGTAGCATTTATGCTACTTTTAACCTAATTGATTTGTTTTATCCGTCATGATTGCTTGCATCTTAAAATATATCTATAGTTGATTTATAGAGAAAATTACATTGTCAACAATGTCAACTTTCATCATAATTAACAACACTTAAACTCGAAAAAAAGTTGTTCGCAAGTATAATACTAGTTTCCATTGCACGTATTTCAATTATAAATTTGGAGTTTAATTATAAAAAATACTATAACTTTAAACCCGATAAAAATATTTTGTTAAAATTTAAATCAAATCAGTAAAAAAAGTATTTCATTTATCTATTTAATCATTTATTTATTTTATTTATTTATTATTATTTTTACTAAGAAATTGAAAATAAAAACTCTTCTGAGAAAACTCCAAACAAGTCAATACAATTAATGCATCAGAATACGACATCAGGTCAATGCTCTTCACAGTCATAAAATTTTAAAATTAAATCCAGCTTCGCGTTTCAGATTAAAACTAAATTTGAAAGATTTAACTAAAATTATTGCTAAATATTGCAAAGAGAATTTTGTGTTTGAATATTTGTGTTACATGATCTTATGAAAACTCAAAACACATGATCTTATGAAAATTCTAACACATGATCTTATGAAAAGTCGCAAAAAAATTCCCGAATCTCTTAATGAATATTTTTCAAACCTGATGCATTTCTGAACCAAGTCGCTAATATGGTAATTATCATTGTTCCTGAGATATATAACAGAAATTATTACTATCTCTAATTTTTTTTTTTTTTTTTTCATTTTCATAAGATCATGTGTTAGAGGCGACGAGTATCATGCGCTACACCACGTCCCATAAAAACGAATGAACTTTTCAATAATGTTAAAAGTCATTTTTGAAACATCTCGTAACAGTAAAGATTTTTTAACAAAGTAAAATAAATTAGTATCCCACTTTTGTTAGACATATTCCAATAATCAAAAACTTCAAAAAATAATATTTAATGACATATTAATATTTTTTTCAAGAGACGAGT